GCAGAGGGTGGCGGTTTCCCTTCAGATGGGGTTTCTGGAGCCCTGTTCCCGGGAGTTGTGTTTGCGTTGGGTGCCTTTACAGACCCGGAGTTTGCACGAGGCGTGCAGAGGTCGACGGTTTCAGTTTCACGCTGAGAAAGTTAGCTCAGCTTCTCCCTCCCGGTCTTCTCTTCTTTCCTTTTTCCTTCCTCCCTCGCTCCCTCCTTCCCTCTCTTTTTCCTTCTTTGCCTAAATGCCTCCGAAGCTTGAAGTGGGGAAATGAAAACCCTGATGCACGGCCCCCTCCTTCGGAGGGTATTTAGCAAAAAAATTTTTCGCTTTTCCACCGCATTTTTACGCCTGTCTTTATGTCTGGTGGTGAAAACACTTGTTCTAAACAAAAGTATTGCTTATGCGGTGTCTGAGTTTGCCCACGTCGGGGATTCCTGCAGAGCCCATAGCAAAGGTGGAACTCGATCCAGAAGGAAACGAGAGGCATAGAACAACCTAAGAACAATCAGACCAAGCCCCGTTCTTGTCGGCAGCAAACTCCGTCCCGCAGAGGGTGAGGGCGTGGGGAAGAAACCCCTGACTTGGGGGTGGGATGTGTGCCTCACCCCTTCCTGGCGCACCGCACCCCTGCCAGATGTTCAAGAGAGAGCAGGGTTGCAGTCAGTGTGAACACTGGTCATTGGATGACCTCTCAATTCCCCAACAGTTTGGAGGCAGGTGGCAGTCTGAGAAATGGGTTTGTAGCTCCCGCAGTAACGCAGAGCTGGGGCCTCGTGGTGGGCGCGGCAGGATGCCTGTATGTGCCGGGAGAGGCCTGGGGTGGGTGGTAGAGGCGTCATTCCTTCTGAGTCCTGGCCAGTTCTTTCAAAGTGATCAGCCGGTGGCACTGTTTTATAAACCAAGGGAAGGAGGCACCTCGCTCCCCACCTTTCTTATTGATCAATTTTCACCACCTCCCTTATTTCCTCCACACAACCGCTTTTCTCCTTCAGAGTTAGATAGCTGCTTTTCTCATGTACACCTCTGGATGTAAACAAAACAAAGTTTCAAAGAACAAGAACCTTCTGCTCTTAATTCCAGACTGGAGGTCATTCGAATGCGTCTGGCAGGTTCGCGTGCGCCGCCACTGCAGTAAATAAGGTAACTGCTTCCTATTACTTTAGCCCCATATGGCTGCAATTTGAGTGTCTTTGGAGACAGTGCGTGTGTTGGGGAGGGGGGCGGGGGGAGTGAAAGTGGAAATCAAATGTTCTCAGATCGCATTTTTATGAAGGAAATTGTCGGTGATTCTCTTCGCAGCCTTCACTCCACGTCCTAAGTTCCGGGGATAAGCAGCCTTGTTTCTTTGTTTATGGAAAAATAGACTCCCGCCCACCTCGGGACACCTGCTTCCCGAACCCCTGGGTTTCCTACCCGATTCTTCATTCGTTTTGGTGAACTGGGCACACGCCTGCCACTTCCCTTCCCAACAAAGGGCCTCCAACCTGCTGCCGACGCCTAAGAGCCAGACCCAGCCCTTGGCCCACTCTCCCGAAGGTGTCCGGACCCTGTGCTCCCTGCGCCCGTCTCTTTCACCTGGAGGCATCCCCTGGGTCCAGGAGCTCTTTTAGACCACCCCGTGTCCGCTGCCCCGAGACTCAGCTCCCGGGAAGGAGGCTGGAGGCTGGAGGCTGGCGAGGTCAGAGGAGAGGAAAGAGGAGGAACCCGCTGAGGCTAGGCGCTGGGCTCCTGGGTCGCTGGCCAGACCAGCAAGCCCCAGGGCGTCCTGTAGCTCGAGGGTGAGGCCGGGCTTCGGCTCGTTCATTGGGAGCGTTTCAACTCCGCGGCTTGGCGGGCGTCGGACCTGCATGGTCTTGGCCTCGGACGCGGGCGGATTTGGAACCCAACCGTTTGCCTCGGGCGCGACAGCGGGGCCGGCTATAAAGTGAGCGCGGATGGCTCCGAGGTGTGGCCACGTGGGCAGTGGCTGCGTGTGCGGTGGTCGCAACCTGTGGCTTACCTCCGGCCACTGTGGAGCCCGGCGGGCGTCCTCTGGCTCTGCCTGCCCCAAGCCTGGGCCAGAGCCCAACGCCTCAGGG